AACACCCCACCTCGTACCATTCGACCCACTTGCCGGGGGATGCCGGGGGAGTGGGGGTAAGCAGAGCAAGCAGGGCAAGCGAGGCAAGCGGAGCAAGCGGGGCAAACGGCATGTTCTTCCCTTGGTTTGCAAGTAGGGCAAGTGGGGCAAGCGGCAGAAATGAATGATCGCCGCCACAAACGAAGTAAGCGGGACAAGCGGCAGAAATCACTTAGCGGCCCCGCGGGGCAACCATACAGCAACATCTCGATATAATAATTTTTATGCTATTTTGGACTATACATTATCAAAGCATATCAAAGCCGATTATATTCGTATTATTTCGTAATTGTGGCTCGGACATGGTCGCAGAAAATACATAAATTATGTAGTGTTTGTTATAACTATAATTTATTTGTGTAATATGTTATTATTTAAAATATATATATATATAAATATTAAGGAATTATGGAAGAATTAATTATATATATATATTAAAAATATATAAAAATATTATGTAGTTTGCGAATTCGAATGTAATTACCTAGAATATGTATATGAAATATTTTGTTTGAATAATTTTGTTTATTTTGCCTTTGTTACCATACTAATGTATTGTAAACTATGGAATGCGGAAGAGGGTGGAGTGCAAAGTGTGGGGTGTGACGAAAGTGAATTGTTGAGTGGGGAATGTAGTGTGTAGAGTGTGAAGTGGGGATTGTGGAGTGTATAGTATAAGGTATGGGGTGGAAAATGTGAAGTGTGGAGTGAGAAGCGTAAAGTGTAGAGTGTAGTGTAAAGTGTTGAGTGTAAAGTCTGGAGATGTTTGGAGTGTAAAGTGTGGAGTGCGGAGTGAAGTGGGAAATCTAAAATCTAAAATAAGGAGTATATATTTTTTTTTCTTTATGTGATTTCGCTTATATCGTTTTACGTAGTTGTATTGATGTGATTAGTAATGCGATATATCGTAGTTATTGTAATTATTTTATAAAATAATAAGGTAATTTTTTAAATTGTTAATATTAATATGAAAAAAATTGAATTTATTTATAATTAAATTAAAATATATATATATATTTATTTTAATATTTTTATGTTATTT